TATTTAGTACACAATAAAAGGGACTGGGTGACACACTTACTCGAGGACAGCGAACCTGAATCCTAAGCAAGCCTTTGGGCCAGTAAGGAAGCTAACTTGGTTGCCCCAGATACCGGGAATATTTTCGGTGATTTTTGGTGGATTCTCCCACCTGCTTGGGCTAGAAAAAGAGGTGAGCATAGTGATCGTGGTTATTTTTCAACGAGAACAAACTTGTAAACTAGCGTGTCGGGTCCCCAAAGACTTTCAAGAGTGTTCATAATGCGTACATTGATACGAACGGTATCGCCTTTCAAGAGTCTAATGGAAGAGTTAGAATAGCAATGGAAAAGAGTGCGATGAGACTTGCGGTAGTTCTGTCCTAGTATTACCCTCCTTGTCCACGAATGGGGTATCGAACGGAAGTACATCATCTTCGTTCGCAGCCCTTTCCAAGAATGCACCAACAGAGTGAAGTCGCAATGTTTCGCGCACAACCCAGTCGAGATATGTCATCGAGTTGAGATCTTCCATGGTAGGATGGTCAAAGTTCTTTTCCTGTAGTTCTTCACGTAGACGGTTCTGAATCGCCTTGTCGTTGCTGAGAGACCACAAAGTCCACACAACAGCAGTAGCCGTTGACTCGTGGGCTATAGTGCATAGAAATTAGTACAAAATATTCATAGGCTAAAATATACTCACCAGCGATGAGGAATGTAGGAACCTGGTTTAAAACCTCCTTTTTGGTCATGCTCTTGGTGGCGTTCGCCTCCAAACTCGCCTTGACGAGGATCGTCAGGAGATCCTTGCCCTTTCCATCAAACTCCCCACGTTCAAGTTCCTTTGTTCTCTGGTCGACAACCGTTTTGGCAATATCCATCATGATCTTGTGGGCGTTACGAAGGCAAACGCTCGCCTTATCAAACTGCCACAATCGAAGGAGTGGGATCCATGTCTTGAAGAACATGAGGTAAAAGCTCCAATCACACTTTACAAACACCTCTTCCAATGCGGGGTAGAGCACGTCCTTGTCCGTATCCCTGTTCTTGACCGAGCCGATATCATAGCCAAACCCAGTGACCCCAATGATATCCAAAGCAGCTCGAGAGATCCAAGAGACCATGTCTGTCACTATGGTGTCACGGTCCTTTTCGTCGGTCGCTTTGGAATTGTGCGCGTCGATGAGTTTATCGATCTCTTTCTTGACTTCAATCGACTTGTTGACAAACTCTTTGCACATGTCTCGGATCTGGCTCACTCCAAATGCTTGTTGAATGATCCTTCGTTGGCGCTTGTGAATTTCGCCTTCTGCAACAACGACTCCGTCACCGATAAACGTGGTGAATTCCCAGCGCAGTTGGTCCGACTTGCGATATATATGAGGGTTATTCAACACGTGTCCTATTGCTTTTAGGTCCGTGGTAGTCAAGAGTTGTTCCTAGTCACCATACACAAAAGTTTATAGGGGCGCCGTATGCCAGACACGAGCCAAGAAATGAGAAACGTCATTGATGCAAAGAGCAGACATTGACTTACATTCCAAGGTCCTCTGATCCTAACTACATGTCCGAGCTTTGCAAACACCTTCAAGAGCCACGCATCCGGATACTTGGCATACAAGGAGATATACGACAAGTGTCCACTCATCCAATTACCACCCGCAGGTGCTTTCACTTTCATCATGGGTGAAGGACGAACGACTGGTTTCAATATCGTCCGCCATATATGGTTGGTCGCCCATAGCGCAAATACCACCAGGAAGAGCGCGGAGTAGAGAATGGTTGAAAGCCTTGGAAGATGCGAAATGGTCCAGTTTAGAGCGTCCATTGTGGAAGAGAGGATAGTGGCCATAATGTGGCACGGTCAAAGCTATCTTGACGGTCAAAGACGCTATGGCTGAACAAGGGCTCGCCGAAAACGGAAAGTAAGACCTGGGCGCGTCCCAGCCAGACCGCTGACCCACTGGCGCGTAAACTTTCCAATCAGCACGCTTTTATTCTAACAAAATCTTATTCGAGTCCACTTTAGGTATTAAGAATGTCACATTGAATAACGCAGGGCTACAGACCTCGCCACTCTAGGATATTCAGACATATATATCAAGAGGTAGCGCAAAAGCGCACACCGACTAAAACAAAACGACAGTAAAGGAACAAGGGGCGAGCGGGAGTAAGGATAGTCATGATAGGACGTAATGTACCATCTATAATAAACAGCTTTACGAAGGGGGTAAGGTTCCTTTCCTAGCCGAGTGAAATGGGATTTTTAGAAAGAGCCGTCATTATAGGTGAATTAGTGAGCTGGAGATGGGTTTTTGAGGAGGATATGGTTGCCGCGGATGTTGATGAACGACCACTCGGCAACAGTGGGAGGGTGGCGCCAGTAGTTGACGTCGGGGAGGTTGGGCTAGAAGAGTACAAATTAGAACTACAATACGTGCCATAGTCAGAATGGGGCTTACCTCGGTCCAGAATGGCCTCAATCCAGCTTCCTCTAACCTCTCCCACCAGTGCAAGAAATCGGCAAATGGCTTCTCACCAACGTGAATTTCGAGCTGGAGTTGACCGAATGGCAACGGGCGGCCCTTGTATTCCTTGAAGATGGAGTCGAGCACATCGAATTCGGATCCTTCAATATCGAGCTTGAGAATATCGATAAAGGTGTGTCCATTCTTCCTCATGAGACCCTGGAGAGAGTACTCTGGTGGGCTGGCCGATGGATTGTTCTCGGGTTGCAACTTCCAGGGCTTGAAGTGGATGCGGGTCTGGAACTCGGGAACATCACGAATTTGAGGTCCCCACTAGCCACCATATCAGTCCAAGTTGCAATTCTAGTCCTTGTAAAACTCACGTTTTCAACCGAAAAGTCGTAACCGTAGATCTCGCAAGTCTTGGAGCGCTCGAGGATGGCCTTTTCAAAGGACGACTCTTGGGCAACACCTGCAGGTACGAATTAGCACACAGCTGCTATAGGTAACACCGGATACACATACCGGAAGAGTAAATAACGCAGTTCTTTTGGTGAATCACACGCTCGTAACCGCAAACCCATTTACCGCCATCACCCATGGTGCCCACTCGGGTGACGGGGAAGGGGCACGAAAAGCTTGGGATGAAAAAGTCCCCTGTTCAAAATCCATGGGTCAGCACGAAATTACACGGCACCAGTCTAGTGGGAGGACGAAGGCAAGGGACACAAGGGTCGCGTAAGAATTCAATGATTTAGGGAAGTAGGCCTCATTGCCAAGGGGCGGATATAAAAGAAAATATACGCCGGCACTCACACATCGTGTAAAAGTTTGTTCTGGGCTCGGGGAAACTGTAGGCATAGAAGTGGTCAGTAAGATGCTTAGGATAAGACAGTGACAAAAGCAAGCGGAGCAGGAGACGAGTCGCGTGGTCCCAGGATGGGTCGCGCATACGACGCTAGGTGAAAAGTGCAAAAAGTGCGGGGAGAGGGGAATAAAGAGAAAAGCACGTACGCAACGAGTCCCTCTCCTCCCCAGATGCGGACGAGGTTGTTTCGTTGACGAATGGTGTCCTGGTAGATGCCCTCGCTGTACTCCAAAAGTTTGTGGAGGTCACCCCACATGGAGACGCCGGGATTGTAGCCCTGGTCGACATAGACATCGCTGCCACTCGCTACAAGTAATGTCTGTGAGCATTTTCGTGTCTATCAGAGTAGGTGTGGGGCAGCTACGTACGACGCCAGATGTGATTTAGAGAGTCACCGAGGGTTTCGAGCGAATTGGTGCCGGGGCGCGGAGCCAGCAATAGCAGCGCAGTGACCAGCAAGACCACTACGAGAGATAGCGCGAAACGGGGATGACGATGGACAGAGTTGATATGTCCCATGGCTTTTGGATTATTTGTTGAAAAATGACCAGTTGTGGTCGTGGTTGAACAACGCACTGCTGGCATTTCGACGGCCGCTCGTCCACTTCTCACGACACGGGGCCTAGTCCATCCCATACCTTTCGGCAGAAAATGACAAGAAAAATCCATAAAATTGATGCATAAACTGTAGAGCTACAGCAGTGAAATAGAAAACATGCATATACAGAATTACACCCAGAAAGGGAACACATGAAAATGCTAGTGTCCAGAATAGAGTCGCACAAGATTCACTAAGGGATACGATAAGTATATGAGTGTACTGAAACAGCGAGAGCTACATACCAGAATGCAGGTTGTACGAGTGTCTAAATTTAGCGCCTGACGCCATTCGCAATGGGAAGAGGAGTGGCTTGACGAGGAGGACTAGAGGGAGGAATCGGTGCAACGCTACTGCTGACGGAACGACCAGAGCGCATTCCAAAGTCTTTGAGTTGTCTCAAGTCGCCCAAGGGGTATGTAATCTTGCGTGTAGGAAGAGGAGATTCTGGGTCATAGCGAGGAGAATCTGGAGGTTGCCCGATATCACTAGCTTCGTCCAAGTCGCTGGAGACAGGACTCAGGCTGAGACCAGAACGAGGGCTATCAGGAGCACTTGGGACGTCACTTTCGGCGACATCAGGCTCGGGCATCTTCAGCCATAGACCAGTCTTGCGGAAGTTGGGAATGCGTAGCTGAGAGAAACGATCTTCGAGCTCCTTGGCAGTGATCTCGCGACCAGGAGACTCTTTCTCTTGTTTTTTCTTTTCTCGCTCCAAACGCTCAGCTTCTTCTCGACGAACTCGCTCTTCCTCCTGCTTGGCAGCAAGCCGACGAGCCTCTTCTTGTCGCTGACGCTCGCGTTCTAGTTTCTCTGCCTCTTTCCGCTCTTCCTCTTTCCGCTCTTCCTCTTGTCTGCGCTTTTCTTCAGCCAGGCGACGCTCCTCTGCGAGACGACGTTCTTCCTCTTTGATACGCTCCTCCTCGAGGCGGATTCGCTCTAAACGTTCTTCTTCCTGACGTATCTCTTCTTCAAGTTGTCGGGCCTCCTCTGCCAGTCGTCGAGCTTCCTCTTCGGCTTCGCGCTTCAGTCTCTCCTCTTCTTCGATGCGGGCTCTCTCGAGTCGGGCAGCTTCAAGTTCACGAGCGATCTTTTCTTCCTCGAGCCTCTCGGCCTCAGCACGTGCGGCTTCGAGTTGAGCAAGCCTCTCTTCTTCTTCTCGCTCCAGCCGCTCTCTTTCTTCCTTCTCCTCCTTTTCTCTTTGGAGCCTGGCTTTCTCTTCTGCCTCTCGTTGCTTTCGCTCTCTTTCTTCTCGCTCCTTCTTCTCTTTCTGAAGCCGAGCCTTCTCCGGCTTTTCTTGATTTCTCTTGTTCTGCCTAAAGAACCCCCATCCCGATGCCGCCTCATCTTCCTTGCGCTTGCGTTCCTGCTCCTGGCGTTCCTCTTCCTCGGCCTTTCGTTGGGCTTCCAACTCCTCTGCAATCTTGCGTTGAGCCTCTTCAGCAAGTCGACGTGCTTCAAGCTCCGCTTCTGCGAGTAATCGTGCTTCTTCGGCCTCCTTCTCAGCTTGGATTCGAGCGAGCTCTGCAGCGACTTCACGCTCATGTGCCTTTTTGGCCTCTTCTTCACGAGCTGCCTTGGCACGATCCTCTTCCTCCTGTATACGTCGATCTTCCTCTTCCTGCTCACGACGTTTTCGCTCTTCCTCCTCCCTCTCGATTGCGACACGACGAGCTTGAACGGCAGCCATAGCAGCTTGTTGAACAGCGTTGCGAGCCTTTACACGAGCCTTCTCTTCAGCTTCTTCATCTTTCTTCTTGCGCTCTTCCTCTGCCTCTTTGCGCTTTCGTTCAGCCTCTTCTTCCTGACGAGTTCGTTCAGCCATTTCAGCTTCCTCTTGCTCTCTTCTCGCTTTCTCGGCTTCAGCAGCACGTCTCTCCTCTACAGCAGCAATCATGGCGGCTTCCTGTTTGGCAGCGCGGTCTGCTTCCTCTTTAGCACGACGCTCCTCCTCCTCTTTCTTCTTCTGCTCCTCTTCGAGTTTGGCGAGTCGCTCGGCTTCTTCCTTCTCCCGTTGCGCCTTTTCTGCCTCGGTTCTTCGTCGTACAGCAACAGCAGCGATCATGGCAGCCTCTTTAGCCTTCTCCATCGCTATCCTCCGTTCTTCTGCTTCACGAGCCTTTTGAGCCTCCTCTTCCGCCTCTTTCTCCGCTTGTAGTCGAGCCTCCTCTTCAGCCTTTTTGATGCGCTCCTTCTCCTCTTCCTCAAGCCGTATCCGCTCCTTCTCTGCTTCTGCCGCCTTTTGTTCCGCTTGTTCTTTCTCGCGAGCTAAACGCTCCTGCTCCTCTTTCTCAAGCCGTAATCGTTCCTTCTCTGCCTCAGCCGCCTTTTGTTCTGCCTCTTCCTTCTCGCGAGCTAGACGCTCCTTCTCTTCAGCCTCTTGGCGCAGTTTTTCAAGTCTCTCTTCTTCAGCCTTCTCTTCAGCCGCCATCTTAGCCAATTTTTCCTCCACTTCTTTCTGCTCTTCTAGACGCTTTTGCTCGATAAGGGCCTTTTCTTCGTCTCGGGCCTCAGTAGGAGATTGGGCACCGCCAGGGGACAATAGGTCAGGCGTATCTGCAGCAGCTCCAGCTCCAGTTCCTTTCTTCTTCTTTTTCTTCTTTGCCGATTTACTGTCAGCAGGTGGAATATCGGTACTGATAGGCTCGGTAACGGGAACTGTGGCAATGGGCTCTTCAACCTTTGGAACCTCTTCAGCCTTCTCATCCTTTGGAGCTTCTTCTGGAGCGGCAGCGGCAGTTGTCTCTTGACTGGCTTCTACTTCTGCATTTTCTTCAGCC